AGAGTATGAAGAATGGCGACACCTAGAAAATCGGATTGAATATTTTTTTCTTTCCAATTCAAAAAAGTTTATGTGAGATGTGATAAAATTTTGTAAGACTAAATATACGGCGGTCCAAAAGCCACGTTACCGACCATACAATGCATATCTCAATTATGACCCAGACAAACGACTTCACTATTTTTTATCAATGATAGAGATATGTTTAAGCTTTATATTCATGAAGAAGCATGCCCAGAGAGCTCGTTTGTTATGTATCACCATTGGCCTCAACGAAGAAAATTACTTTTTCATAGACAGGAAAAAAATAAGGTAGTATGAAAAAGAACCAGTTTATCAAGATAAATGCAAATAATCAAATAGACATGTGACTATCATGCCTCCCTCATTCATACGCCCGTTCTGTTATTTTTTTCCTTTCTGTCTACTATAATCTACATGAAAAGTCTAGGTAATGCTTCTGGTCAATTTTGCGTAACATGTGTCCACATCCGTTTTGTGCTTTATTAGTCACGTTTGTCCTCATATGAGTGTGTGTGTGGGTGTTAGTGTTATTTCCATCTACGGACCCACACCCACAACCACACCCCATGTGAAGTCATCATCAGATAGAACTCATGGAGCCACATCTAATGATATGGTTTTTACCACTTCCACACACGAGGTAGCGAATAGTTTTGGAAAATATGAAATGTGAGTATTTTGTCGAATGGTGAGAAATCATATATTGATGCCTATTTCTCTTGTTTTCGTGTATTCGCAAATTCTGAATATACTTTCAGATATAGCTCGACGAGTTCTATCTAGCATACTAGATTTCCTAAGTGGCAGAATTGATGTGGCGAATCGTTTCGCGAAAAACTCGACTATGGCACCAGCTTCCCTTACATCAGTAAAGATTTCAATTTATCGATATCTGAATGAAAATATTAATCAGTATTATTTTCAAGAACTACTTCTAATAAGAAGAAGCATTAAACAATTTAAATAATGTGTATATTTTCATATATTTTCTTTGAAAAATTTATAATTTTTCAGATGTCCAGCATTTTCACGTACTTCCGGCAACGTTTCAAATCCCAGTCAGGAAATAATAGAAAAAAATAAAAATGTTTTCGGGAACCAAACGATAGAAAATTTCATACGCTATCGAAATATATGATTATATATGTAATATTTTTAAACTTTAGTTAATCAATTTTAGAAAAATAAAGGATAACAGCCACAAAAAAATACTGTTCACAGATAGTTGACGATAATAGTGCTTTTACTGTGGTAGACTTTTTTTTATTAAATAACTGTCGTTCAGGATGCACATATATATTACTGTAGAGAATTTTACCCACTATCAGAATATGTTATTACATTTCTAGAATTGACAACATATATTAATGATATATCAAAAATACTGAACACGTCTGGTATTTTTCAAACAGAGGGTCTTATGCTAAAAACAACTATATATTGTTGACAATGCTTTCTATAGTAAAATACAAAGTCACAAAGTTTTGAAAACGTCATTCGACGCAGTTTGATATGCTCTTTTAAATGAGACTATTTTCAGATTATTCTACCACGCTGATGTGACCAAGTTCTTATAGATATGTAGACACGTTTTCTGAATATGCCATAGAGTGTCGATCGAAAAAAAAAAAATGAAAAGGTACTTTCAATGTCATCAAAAGATTGCCCATAATCCATAGTATCTATGGTAAAAAAATCTCTGCTGTTGCTCTTATCGTTGCTGAGAAAATGAAAATTTACTGAAAACTATTGAATTATAAGATGCACCAAAAGTGACCTACCCCCTAATAGTTTTGTCCACTATATCTCGAGACTGGTTCATCCATTTGAGCTGAAATTTTGGGTTTCTTCCTAAATATATTAGGACTACCTACTATAAAAAGATCAGCCAAATCGGTGAGATCGATTGCGCAAGGTCGGTCGTGGCTTACGTGCAATACCTCTTATACAAGTACTTGTTCAGTAAGTATACTGCTATCACTACCCAATACAGTACCTGCATCAGTATAATTACGGAAAACTTTCAAAGTACCCACAATGGGTACCCTGCTGAAGTTTTCTCAGTATGTGGGTACCCTGAACTCAGTACATTCTCTAGGGTTGACAATTTATTTCATTATACAATTAAAGTTCTCATTTATAGATCTTCTATTCATTGTAGTTAATTCATATATTAAAATCATTTTTGAAACCTTCATCAACATATCAATCTATTTAAATCTCAAAAACTTTGTCTTAGTTTATGATGCCTAATCACAAAGAAATCAATAAAGTGTACCGAGTATAGAAGGTTTACCAGCTATTTTATTTGGGTTAAAATTTTCCTTGAAACTTTAGTGAACTACTGAGATTTAGAATGCTGTCTGCACGTGACACATGACAATGTGCTGGCTCCGATATCAGTCTTTTGTTGGCAGTTCAGAAATGCATGTTTGGCTATGATTTGGGATTTAACTTTGCTTGTCATAGATTAGCTTTCTAATGAATGAAGGATTTTTAGAATAAAGAAATTCAACTTCAAATTCAAACTTCTTGTCCTTCATAGGCTGTAACAAGTTTTCATTAAATTCTACAGAATGCAAAAAAAGTAGAGGCATCTCTTTTTGAGAGGATAGTGTCGTGACCAATGAAAGCTCAAATAACAAAATGTTCACCTTAGATTTAGATTCTTCATCCTCATTAACGTGTAGTGATAAAAGCTAGAAAAACTTGCTTCTGATTGATTAGACAAACAAACAAATATAAATACAATTTTTTTTTGTGTCATACACTGATTTTCAGAATGATGAATAAATTATGTTTCCTATAATGTTCGTTTATAATAAAATGATTTCTTCTTTTTTTTTTGACAACAATTCTCTATGTCTTACTTTTATAAAGGTAATTGTAATTGTCTATGTCAAAAACAAAATTTTTTCGTCTTTTTCTTTCGATCAACATATTTGATGAAGGTATGATAGATAACCTTGAAAGCCACTTCTTTTTATTGAAGTCATAATGAAAAAAAAAGGATAGAATTTTAGTTTAATGCTTATTTGATTTGAATAATCATCGACATGTGAATTATTTATTCAAACATACTATTTTTATATGAAAAGAAAATAAACTGATTAATATGATTTCGATCATTGTAATTATCATCAATATATATGTATAAGTTATATTGAGTTGTTTCTTTTTAAATCTTTAACAAATCAGCTTTGAATTTATTCTGCTTTATATTGGAAAGATTTTTCCTTAAATATAAATTTAAAAGTCTATATGGATGGATATTTATTTGAAATTACTCATAGAAATATAATATTATTGTATATATTGACAATCGTAAAATAAGTCAAACAAATAAAAAAAAAAACAATTCTTGGCTTTATCTCAGATAATTCATTGAATGATGGAATAATTAAATTACAATAGATAAAGATCACTTGGAATTCTATTTTATCTATAAAAGATCAAAATAATTGAGTTCTATTTACAGATAAGTTGAAGCTAATTACAAATTGCTCAAAGATAAGAAAAGAAAAATATTAAATATCATTCGATGCAATTATATTAGTCAAAAGACATATTATTCTTGCTTATTTTCACAATATAAGATTCACTTATGATTTAAATCAAAATATGTAATTTATTATTATATTTAAATAAAAAAAAGTGATTATTGATTTGTTATTTATAATCATATATATATATATATATCAATAATTATGAATTTTAATAAAATATTTTTTTCAGTTAACTAATTAATCTAACAAAATTATATTGACATTATTTTTAGCTAAAGGCACATTTCGCCAAATAAAGTTTCGTTAAGCATGAAACATTTTTTCATGCTCTTTTGTAAATAATCTTTTTTTTTCATGTTGTTTTCTCTCATTAATATTTGTTGCATGTGGTTAGACGTTGTTGTCAAAGAAGTATCATTCGTATCGAAGCTTCTTCCAACATACAATGACTAGGAAGAAGCAGAAAGGTAAGAGACTTTTTTTTCTACATCAGCTTTTAACATGAAACCAAAGAATCATTCTTACTTTATTCTTTACCACAAGATTAAATCATTCTTGTCTTTATATTATTCTTCATCATTATAACTCAGAACATATATTAATACTAATCGGCATATTCGTCTATTATTTTATGATTAAAATTCTAACCAAATGATCTTTTTTTCTTATTTCAAATGACAATTCTTTCAAGTAGATTATTGTTTTAAACTTATTCAGTGATTTATATTGATTAGTTTCAATTGAGTATAAAAATTCTTGTTGGTATTTAGATTTTGACGAAGTTTACTCGTAGGTTATTCTAGACGAAAAGTATTTGTCCTTAAGATACATTTATTCATCAAATTGTATGTATTTAAGTTGAAGAAAATTCTTCATAACTATTGAAATAAATGATAGGAACATCAGATGGATTTTCTTTGTATTAATTTGAAAAGAAACCATTTTATTAGCTTTCTTTAACCATTTGTTTTTTTATATTTTCATATACAATGCTATAAAAAAATTATAGAAAAACCAGTTTTATTTTAAGTTTTATTTTAAATTCGAACATAAATTCATCCCTGAGAAAAAGAAAAATGAATAAGATAAAGTTTTATTTTTAGATTATTAGCAGTATGAAGTCCTATATTTTCTTATTTGTTCTTTTTTTGAGATATAATCAATATGTTTACTCGAGAGAACTACAAATTACCTTTTTCAAAAAAATTAATCTAAATACAAATATTTTTATTTTTACCAGCATAAATCGTATAGTTTTCATAGTTTATATTTAATTATAATTTCAAATTAAAAGTCGACATGATATATTAGACGATTTTAATGATTTAGATCTAAGCTCTTCTTGAGTTTTATTAATGATTTATAATTAGATTTTATTTTCTTTGAATCATATTAATTCTAATCAAATATGATTTGTTTTTAGATGATTTAATTGATTTAAATCGAACTATTGAATTAAAAAATCACATTATGGAAGAAAAGAGCGAAACTACTCCACCATTAGAACATTCAATATCTGCTACTTATCGTCTTGGTAAAAAATTCAAATCTCAATCGAAATCAATTAAAATTGAAGAAAATCCACAATACATCGATACTCTTCGATCGTCTATTGATAGTCAATATAGTAATTCAAATGATATCGATCAATCATTTATAGATCAACGTTCAGAATCACTTCTTCAGTCTGTTGATGGTAAGTGTGGGTGGAAAGAATATCCTCATCAGCACCCAGACCCACACCCACACCCTAGATCTTCCTCCTGAGCTAGAAAAATCTATCATTCCGGAAATAAAAAATTCTGCAAATCTAATGGATTTTTCTTTTGTTAGATTTACCGACCGATGAGCCTATTATTTCGACAGAAGCACCTCCGCAACCATTGCTTCCAGAACTAACACAAGGATCAGGTCTTCCAAAACACTCCATGTGTACACCAGTGTTTCAACTGAATATAAAATCAACATCATTACCAATATGAATACTTTTTACATGTTGTCAAAATAAACTCGCATAAAAATTAGCAAAATCGTCCAATAAATGTTTAAGCATTTCATTAAAAAGATGGAAAAATAGGAAAGTATTTGTGTGGACGTGAAAAACTCTATGATAAATTCAAAAGTATATTTGCCGAGAACAAATATGATCTGGAAACGTTGGCGATTATTGATCAAAATCAAATATTTGTAGATTTTTTGGTAAACAATACAAATTAAATATCACCTATTATTGAAGAAAAGCTTATTAATACCAATCGTATTAGAATTTCAAAATAAACAATATCAATACCATGCAAAATCAAAAGCTAAAATTTCAGAAGTTCTTATTCATTTTATTGTTGATCAGCAATTAACATTCAAAACTAATGAAAACTATTTTAGTGCATTCGATTCATTCGGATAATATATTGTTGAAGATTGTCAAATCAATAATATACACATCGATCGGATCCTCATGGTTCTGTTTCTGTTCAAATAATTCAATGCAATGAGAATACGAACACTTGCTGCAAAATGAACGTTTACAGTAGATGAAACACGAAATTAACATTTTAATCTGTTGATCACTTGGAAACAACTAAGCTTATGGTTGAAGAGTCTTGATATACACACTGAAAATCCAACTAATAGTTACTATTTCTGGCATGTAAAACAACAATTTATTATTGATGGAGATCAGACAATATCAAGTATACTTGATCCAAATGAATTTGTCTATATTAATGTTATCAGCGAAGGGGATGTCACAGATATTATTCTATCCTATGATAAGATTAGTCAAGCGATTCGTATTCTTAAAGTATGTCCAGTTCGTGGTCTTCTAGAAAATACAAAATACTTGAAAGAATTAAATCTTCAAATATCTCTCAAAGATTGTACATTAGTTTTCGTTTCAAACACTCCTAAAAAGCAAATACTTAGTAATCCAGATATGGAAAATTCGATCGATGAGTTTGCATCAAAGACTGACAAGTCGATTCATTCTCAAATATCGATTCTTATTCAGATCATTCGATATGACGATAAAACTCAAATCCCACTGCCAATCTCTCATCAAAATTTAACAATCAAAGAATTATTAGATATGATTGAAGTTAAAGATAATAAAAATTTTTCCTCGTGAATGAAATTCAAACATTTCTAGGGTGTGGGTATCTACCCATGTCGTCCTTTTTTTACACTAGCGTCGCTATAGCGTCAAAACGCCATATAGCGGCGTTATCTAGCAATATGGCAGCGCTATCATCGTAACTACTCTAACGATATAGCGACGCTAAGTATCATAACTATAATAGCGCTCTATGTGGCGTTATAGCGATAAATAAAATTGAAGCCACTAGTTCAACTTTAAAAAAAATAACTAATTGGATGTGCACTTTCGACTTAATATGGGTAATAATCTGATTGATTGGATTAATCATGATTCATAGAATTCGTGAATAATATTGAAAATTGTTCCAACCTTATCTTAGATCCTCGGTTTTAGGATAATAATCATCTTTATTTGCCTTTAGAATAAATGTATCGATTTTCTTATAAAGTAAACCAGCGGCGTTGTATTCGACGAATTAAACGTCAATCAATTCATAAGATAATTGTTCCTAATAGTGAGTCTTCTGATAATAGCTACTTTAGTGAAAGTCAGGAGGATCTATTAGAAACACACTATCAGGAGCAACAACCATATGAACAAACATCTCTTATGTCAATTAGTAATGAATATGATTCATTTGTAACAAGTATTGATCATTTGGATGATGATTTCAATTGGATTAGTGAAGAAGAAGAATATGAAGATGATAAACGCCCACTTTGTAATGGTTCCTCGATCACTGTTACTAATGCAGTTCATCGTATTACTAATTTTTACTTGAATATCAATTTGGACAAACATAAGGTCAATGGTTTATTACGGTTAATCAAGTCCCTATTACCAAAACCGAATTTGTTGCCGTCAACGTTAAAATCTATGAACAAAGTCTTGCAATACTGTTCGTCAACATCCACCGTATTGCTATGTTCTGATTGTTACCAGTCATGTAATAAACTTGGAATACGTTCCGAAATGTGTATTAATCCGAATTGTTCAACGTCATTTCGTGCTCGTCGTACTACAGAAATAATTGAAGTAGTTCGATTTGATATACGATATCAAATACAATCAATTATGAACCGCAACACTGCTGTTATGAATAAATCACAGTTATTTCCACCAAGTGATATAGTTTTTGGTGACCAATACCAGCATTTATTAAATACGAATAGTAATAAGATTACTTTAGTAGTACACTCAGATGGTGCACCTATTGTTCGTTCATCGAAGAAATCTATATGGCCCTGTTTTGCATCAATTGTTGAAATTCCACCACCTTTGCGAGAATTTCAATCAAATATAATTGTTCTTGCATTTTGGTTATCAAAAAAGAAACCAGACGTTAATATTTTCTTACAAGAAACAGTCAATGATCTATCTTTAATAATTAAAAATGGAACTTCTATCTTTATTGGAGATAAAGAATATAAAATTGAGCTTGGTACCCAGTTCTTTATTTCTGATTTACCAGCTAAAGCTTTATTCTGTTGTACGACTTATTTTAATGGATATTCGGCTTGTACATTTTGCCATAGTAGAGGTAAGGCGTCCTTCTTTTTTTTATTTAAAAATATTGTTGTTTGTATTCTGGTAGAAAAAATATTTTAATTTCTTCTCACATGAAACAATACTCCCTATTGATTAGATTTTCTGAATCCTCCGTTATGTTAATATAAATTCCTCGTTGCTAGTAAACTTAATCTTTAAAAATTTAGTATACTTTCTATCTACAACATGAAAGACTGAATTTTCACTCTTGATTAACCAAAACACACAATCCATTGCATTAGTTTTCTGTATCAAAATAAACATTTAAAGTTCCTTTTAATAGACTTGTTCTTTTTGTTTTATAGGTATTTGGAATTCAGATCATAATAAAGTTCTCTATCCATACAAAAAATAATGATCTTACAGCTCGTACACATGATGGTTATTTTAAAGCAGCTAAAGAAGCCATATTGAAATCAAACGGTGGAAAAGAAGTTGCCATCGATGGTATAAAAGGCTTTTCTTCTTTATTTCAAATATTTAAGTATCCTACACAAATCATATATGATTTTATGCACCTAGTTTGCCTAGGTCATATTCCAAGTTTAATTAATCGATGGTGTTTATTATTAGATAGAAAAAAAAATTGCAGATATTGACAATAAACTGAAATATATACGCCTTCCTCACAACGTGAATGTTACCTTTTTAGAATCAATTACTCTAGTATCTCAATGGAAGGCAAAAAATTCTCGTCTTTTCGTGTTACATGTAGGAGTACCTATAATGCTGAACTTTTTACCAATCCTACAATATTCTCATTTTGTGATTTATTCATTAGCGATTAAACTCCTGTATGCACCTCAAACGAAAGAAGAAATACTATTTGCTGAACGTCTTATGGATTATTATTGCCGAACGGCATCATGTGTCCATGATGAGTCAATTGAAATTTTTTCATTACATGCTCACCTTCATCTAGAATATCAAGCTCGTCTTCATGGTGGCTTAGTACATATGTCAGCGTTTGCATTTGAATCATTAATACGATATATAAAAAGAAAAGCTCATGGAAGTTTTAAATTAAGTTCTCAAATTGCATATTGAATTAATTTACAATATGTAACACAATCGATCAACTTTAATTTGCCAAAAAGTTGTCTCATTAACGTAAGTGTCATTATGAGAAAAAAAATGAAAAATATTACAATTTTGTCTATACACAATAATCTATTCCCTTTTGTGTAATAAAGGAAGTAAATAACGAGAGAAGCAATCACGTTATTTTCTTTTCTACTGACCATTACAACTGTACTAGTTATTGTTTTTTTTCTCTCCCCTCAGACAGAATAGACGGCGGATTAAGCGAGTAAAATAACCTGACCGACAGTAATTATTGCATTTACATTTCTTTCATTCTCTATAGACTATCTTTCTATAGCCTTTTTCTTTTATCAATGTAGAAATTCAACTTGTCCGATCCTATATTCGTTCCATATTATTCAACATTTCGTAATTTATTAAATCAAAATAAAGTTGACCCGACAAAAATCTATTTATACAAACGTTACCGGTTTTTGTTTATTACTTTCATTCATTAATATATGATCGTCCATTCAATTGCAACAGTTATTCTATCTCATTTATAACAAACAATAACTTCAATATGCTTGAATATGGAAATATTATAGCATTTTTCTCGAAAAACGATGACAAGTATGCTTTCGTTCAAAAGTATTTTTATTCGAACAAACAAATCGTAAATTACGTGGAACTTCCAGAAACGTTACATGATCAAATAAGAATATTTTTTCCAATTGTTGTACTTTCAGATGATTTTACCATCATACGAGTTAGTAATATTCGTCATAAATGTATTGTAATTCCAATAGCAGATGGATTTTGTATATCGGAGATAAAAGTTGACTACGAGCACGATTAATTTTAATCAAAAATATTCTGTCGTCAGATATGTTTTACTTTTTACTATTAACTTCTTATGGCTATTTATTTTTCTTTTCAGATTAATATGCCTGACAATAATATTTATAGTAAACATTATGCATCAAAACGTAGAACGAATGAAAATAATGAAATTTATCATGTTGTAATTTTTTCTTGTGACAACTCATTTTCAGTAGTGAAATCAAAACAATGTACACGTGCTGAACAAGATGGTTTTGTTTGCGTTCAATCTGGTGGTAAAAAGTACACAGGTTTTGTCTTTGAATCAGGTAATATGATAAATAGTTGAAGTTCAAGAGAAAAGGTTTTTCGTTGTTGTAGGTACACTTGAAGTGTGCAGTAAAGCTGCTGATCTATTATCACAAAAACAAAACGAGGAGATAGAGAGTGATTATGAACGTGGTAAAGAAAATAATTCATCAAAAGATAATAATTTGAATATATCTGGTACGTGTTTATATACAGATAAATATTTATTTTTACATATATCTACCTTAATTTTAGAAAAAAAAACATTCACTTCGTTAAAAGATGTACCATTTTCACTTTCAACAAATACGGCTACTATTGAAATTAATCCAAGTTCTCCTCAATATTCAAATCCCAACACAATAAGTAAGCGTTTTAAAAAACAGTTTCCATTTTTTTTATTATCAATATGGGATAAGAGGAAATTAGAATAATTCTTTGAATCCTTTCTAAATGCTTTAAACTTGATATTTCGATTCAATTTTTAATTATATAGATATGAATCATGCTGTAACACCAATTAGAGAAAAGACTGGTGGTGATAAAGGTAGAGTAACAAAAAGTTTTTTTCCTTTTTTTTAAAGAAAGATGAATGCTAATTCTTCATGTTACAGATTGGCAAAGAACTCGTAATGAATCTCGTTTCACCAATAATCGTGATACAAATACAATAAATACAGCAGGTAAATATATTATTTTCTATTATTTATTATACACTATGTATAGGAATAGCAACATCAGCAATTACACCTGCATCTAGTCTTTACACTGATCCAACATCTATATCTTCATCTTTATCGAAAAATGACAATGATTTAAATTTGGTAAAAGAAGCATCAAAATTACAATCGTTTTCAAATATTAATATACGCAAAAGAACAGCTATAGACTCAATTTTATCACCCCAAAAGAAAAAAAAAATCTAAAATTATAGAGAAAGATGATAATTTATCATCATCTGAAACGGAATCTGATGAAGATGAAGTTGTACATTTAATGGACACAATGAAAACTCCTACTTTTTATGGTCGTCGATTAACTCATGGTATTGCAAATGATTGTGTGTCGAACAAGTCAGTGGTAACAGACAGTTTTTCTCAACGAATGGAAACAAAATATTTAATGCCATTGTTGATCGGACAAGAACGATTGGAGAAAATGATAAAATCGATATACAAGAATCAGATAAAGATCCAAAAAGCATTGAATAAACGTCAAGTATTATTTTTTTTAAATTCTGAAAAATCTTTTAAAAATTGGGGTAAGAAGAATCGATCAGGCTCTTTAATTAAACTTCGATTGTTATAAAAGTTGAATTTTAAATCTAATTAAGATAGAAATGGTAGTTTTCTTATTTGGCTTATACTGATACAATGGAGATATGAAATGACTAGCTCTGAAGAGACAAAGCTAGTTTTTAAATATATTTAACCTTAGTATCTAATAGTTTTTATTGATACAACACGAAAACTCGAACTAATCGATGTTTCTTTTTCCGTTAGATTTAATTTACGTATTATTGTTGAAAAAATGTACACGAAAAGTTTCCTAGATTTTTCAAATTTTCATTTTAGCTGAGCTATATTTTTATTTAGATACTTATCTCACTTGAAAATCCAGCTGATGATAATAATGATGAAGGAAAATTTCCTTCCTCTTTAGTGAGTATAATCTTCAATTATATTTTAAATGTACGTGGTATTTTAGATTTTTAAAACAAATGAAGATGAACCTGGTATAGATTTAATAAAGGTTCCAAGTACAAAAGAAAAAGCAAATCTTTATGTAACTCAACTAATAGAAATCATGTATACAATGGAACAGTTGGTTGCATTAAAGCCAGCTGATACTTATGATGATGATACATATAAGCTGATTCAAGGTAATAATTTCGTTTTTTCTTCATATTTAATCTTTTTTATTTTCAGAAGCTGTTCGTATTAAATTCAAACTCAGTGATGAACAACTTGAACAATTATTTCGTGAATGGCTACGCGAAGTCTTTTTGGCAAAAAGAAGAGTAGCTGTTGCAAAATTAAAAAATATGCAACACAGCGAATAGTTTATTTATGTGTTTTAGTCTTTTTTTGTTGAAAAAAAGAATTTTTTTTTGTTGTTAACATAAATTATATATATTATTATGTGTCATTTATTATATGGTCAAATAAAATTCAGACAAAAATATCATAGACTTTTTCTATAAATAAGTCATAAAGGAAATATGAACTACTAAACTGTATCGTATGGGTGAATGTATAATGGTACCTGCAACTATCAAATATGTAACGCTATAGCGCGCAATACCTACTCACAACGGCGTTATATCGCCATATAACAGTTATAGCGGAGCGCTAAATGGGGTCACAATGTGATCGCGATAACGGCGTGATAACGCCGTTATTCAATCGTTACCGACGACATGGGTATATTCTTTTTGCATCTACCCACACCCATACCCAGAATAAATTTGAACAGAATCAATAAAATATTCTTCAAATATTACTAATAGATTTATTTTTAAATGAAAAATTTTCTTGAAGAATATTAATACTAATTAAATAGCGTAGATGAATAGTTTAGCAAACTTTTTATATAAAATATTCAATACTGGAAAGAAAAATACTCAAGAGATCTTTTGACTCTGTGCTAATTGTCATTTAATGACTTATAAAATTATTAATCTTATTGGTAGTACGTTTCCAAATCCAAGAATATAGCACCATTACAACAATCAATACAATCCAACCAATGGCTCCTATGGTTGTAATAATAATATTGAAAATCAATGCTAATTTACCCATTGAATGAGCTTCAACATAATTATTAATTTTCTTCTTTTTCCGACAAATAATTGACAAGATTAGTGGAATGAGACCGATAAAACCCCATCCAATTATCAAATTTAATAATGACCATCCTAACCAATCATGAATCCGTTGAACATTCTGGTCTTGTTCTTTTTCACAAAGATATGGTTGAGAATAATTCTTTTTATGTTGAAATCCATCTGCTTGAGGACACATACCATGATTGTTTATTGGCACGGGAATAGTTCCATCATATCGAGGCTGATAATAGTGTTTGTTTACTCTCCAATCTATCATTGTAAGAAAATGTTCGTTATTTCTTATGTTCTGTATCCTTTTTATATTGATGAAATACGATAATTAGAAGAAGATTGAGTATGTCAATGTATGAATATGTAAAAATCGTCGTTTGCCTCTGTGGCCTTTCCTGTTCTAGTTATGGTATGACACAATTTACTCGTTCTCTGCATTAGCATGGACTGTTCATGTGTGACTTTTAACCTTCTCTTGTCATTTCTTATTACGCCATGTTTCGTCCTTACTTTCATAATTTCTTATTAAGTATTGTATCATTGAGATCTTGTCCTTAATGTATTATTCTTAATGTATGATTATTTCTTCCTTCATTCATTCTCATTCATGTTCTCTCATACTATCTCCTTGTTATCATATAATAGGAGAGAGAAAAAAGTAAAATAGCGTAGGCTTGATGATTTAGAAATAGACGAACTGAAATGACTTGGAATTTCATAAACAATGAAGAATTCTTCTCTAAAAAATCAATATGGCCTTATCCCCTCATACATTGATGAGGATTACCAGGTTCATTTTTATATTAGAGGATAACTGATATTTATACCATCACTGTATAAACATTTCCCAAATATTTAAAATATATTTAGAACACGCATTTTTTTGTAAAGAATAACGACATATGTATGATATTAGCGATTAAATACGATAGTGAACGAATTAAAGACATCTTCTGCGTTTATTTTCACACTTCATTCTGAATTTGTTACTTCTATACTTTAGTGCGCACATTATGTTTTTTAATAAATTGAATAAGAAACTGGAAACTTATTGATTATTATTAGTTTGTTTTTGAACAAAATTCGTATTCTGCAACAAGTTTTCATTTTTTACTAGTTGCAAGTTTGTTTCAAATGATCTGAGACATCTTGTAAAAATCTCCAAGGATATTTCAAAACATGTAGAAAATACCTGCATGAAGGTCTTCCACATACATTTAAATGCACGTGATAGCTCGAACTTATTCAGAGGATTTCAACATAAAAATCTATTTAAATAAACCACACAAATTGGAACTAGTGTATTTCTTTTGGAATGAGCTATTTTTTATTGTTACAAGAAATAGTATTTTTATTATTTATTCGATAGTCATTATTGCTCATTGATGGAAATGAAAGATCTTGATCATTGCATCTTTAACCGGTTTTCTCTTAATTCTCTTACTTTCCGAAGATCTTGAAGAGTGATATTAGAATACTTCGTAGAAAATGGTCAATGTTTACTTAAACAGTGATAAATATGCAAAATAGATTCAACTAGGACAAATGCATAATTGACTTGATACAAGTAAAATAATTCTCTGGCAAGTGTACCACAATTACATCGACTTCATCCGAATGAAAGTAAACTCTGTAAACTAGTAGAACTTGATAAACGTGATTTCTAGAATTTCTTCATTTAAAATGATAGAAATTTGAAACTTCTAGTAATATATACTATTTAATAAGACAAATATTTCATGAAGCGAGAACGTTTTTTTGCTGACATTCTATTAGCATTGAGATGCTTTTCGGATTTCTAGAAGGCATATTTCTCAGATAAGGAAAACATTTAATTAACTACTTTATGTACTTTAGGGCGGGAATGTCAGTACGAATAATTTACGCATAACGACATCCACACCCTGGTGGACTATTTTCATCAGCTGTTGAAAAATATGAATTGATATCGGATTCACTTACGTCAAATGTAAACGTTTTTTTCGCCCGAGCCATACCATTCTCCATGTTCCCTCTTTGAAAGGTCTTTATTCTGTTCTTCATCTTCACTGTTCAATTCGTTATCAAACTCGCAAACTGAATCAGTATCTAATAGATCATCTCAATCAGAATTCGAAAAAGATTCAATAACATCTAAATCAATTGAACTACTATTTGCCATAATAATCCAGTAAAGTTTCAAAGTATAAAAAAGAGTGAAAACAACGCATAAAGTTGGTTAGTAAGAACAACTCCTGCTATCGTGTCTTCTTTAGTGCGACTTTATCGAACCACCCCAATCCTCGGTCCTCTGATGGATTCTCTCTTAAAATTAGAAAGCAGTTTATTTTTGAGGTGTTAGTGATCCAGAAAAAACAAGAAAATAATTAGATTTAAAGGGTATTAGAAACAAATAAAACAGCTAGAGAATATTATCGCATAAATTTACATTTTTTAATTAATCCATTCTCCCTAACAGTATAAACATCTTTTTCATAACAGATATTTATTTTTATGAGTTTAGTGCAATAAACTCTTATTTTGTCGTTTTCAACGTTTGTCTTAGATTAATTTAGGTTCATTATGAAAACTACTGCAACTAACTTCTGAATAAATCGAAATGTCACGAAATACACACCACGTCCAGCTGTAGTTGTTGGTGTTGTTATTGATGTTCGTGTTGTTGTTGTATATGGATTTGTCAATGTACACGAACTTTGACCANAGAAAAGGAAAATATTAAATATTATTCGATGCAATTATATTAGTCAAAAGACATATTATTCTTGCTTATTTTCACAATATAAGATTCACTTATGATTTAAATCAAAATATATAATTTATTATTATATTTAAATAAATAAAAGTGATTATTGATTTGTTATTTATAATCATATATATATCAATAATTATGAATTTTAATAAAATATCTTTTTCAGTTAACTAATTAATCGAACAAAATTATATTGACATTATTTTTAGCTAAAGGCACATTTCGCCAAATAAAGTTTCGTTAAGCATGAAACATTTGTTCCTGCTCTTTTGTAAATAATCTTTTTTTTTTCATGTTGTTTTCTCTCATTAATATTTGTTGCATGTGATTAGACGTTGTTGTCAAAGAAGTATCATTCGTATCGAAGCTTCTTCCAACATACAATGACTAGGAAGAAGCAGAAAGGTAAGAGACTTTTTTTTCTACATCAGCTCTTAACATGAAACGAAAGAATCATTCTTACTTTATTCTTTACCACAAAATTAAATCATTCTTGTCTTTATATTATTCTTCATCATTATAACTCAGAACATATATTAATACTAATCGGCATATTCGTCTATTATTTCATGATTACAATTCTAACCAAATGATCTTTTTTTCTTATTTCAAATGACAATTCTTTCAAGTAGATTATTGTTTTAACCTTATTCAGTGATTTATATTGATTAGTTTCAATTGAGTATAAAAATTCTTGTTGGTATTTAACCATTTGTTTTTTTACATTTTCATATACAATGCTATAAAAAAATTATAGAAAAACCAGTTTTATTTTAAGTTTTATTTTAAATTCGAACGTAAATTCATCCTTGAGAAAAAGAAAAATGAATAAGATAAAGTTTTATTTTTAGATTATTAGCAGTATGAAGTCCTATATTTTCTTATTTGTTCTTTTTTCGAGATATAATCAATATGTTTACTCGAGAGAACTACAGATTACCTTTTTCAAAAAAATTAATCTAAATACAAATATTTTTATTTTTACCACCATAAATCGTATAGTTTTCATAGTTTATATTTAATTATAATTTCAAATTAAAAGTCGACATGATATATTAGACGATTTCGATTATTTAGATCTAAGCTCTTCTTGAGTTTTATTAATGATTTAT